ACAAATATAGTTAATGGTGATGTAATTCATAAAATGCCACATTTATTATATCAAATTTGACTACTTTAATATAACGACCGGCTGATATTAAATGCCTACGGACTATATTTTTAAAGGAAAAAAAACCCCCTAGTACATCGTGCGTGAATGCAGTTGAATGGTGCACAGGATGGATATGAAATTTCACTCGGTTATTATATCATATTTCAGTACAGAAACTAGCAATCTGTTTGTAAGGTTTGATATGTTGAAAGACGAAAATGCTTCATGCTATTCCAAATTCTTTAAACATCTGTTAGCTGCTAAATACCACGTTCGGAAGAGATAGCACGCGACGACGGCGTCTGCGGCACGCGAAAACACGCGATCTTAATCCTCGGGCGACGTTTCGACAAGGCATAGTCCACCAGTGTCCCACCATCACATATGCCAAGATCGTCTGCCTCGGGCAAGCAAGACTGCATCGATCGTATTTAATATTCAATATTATAAACTGTACATGGTAAAGTTATGCCTCTACCTTCATGATGATACATGTAGACCCCCGGGTGCAATACCGCCATGCTCAAAGTAGCAATGTGGGCATCTTATTAATTCCTTATTTGTAGATTAGCCCACCGTTCCGTAAAGCCGGGCACTTACTGCGCACGACGGTCGTCGTCTGGCCGACGCGATTCTATGAAGAACGCAACGCGGCGACGCGCACGCAACGGATCGTTCGTTCAGACTGCTACCGACAAGAGCTGCAGACGGCGTTGTGTCGTCAGCGCTCACAGGGAGCGGAGTTGGATTCGTCGTGCGACGGTCGTACGAAAGTCGTACGACGCACTGAGTGCCCGGCTTAAGGCATAATAAACACAATAATAACAACAATGGTAATAATAATGATAGTAACATTAATAAAAATAGTAATAATTGTTAATAACAATAATAAATGAAAATAATTAATATAATAATATGGCGATGATGATGATTATGATGTTGATGATGAGGATGATTATAACGATAATGATAAAACTGTAATTATCAAGCAGACATCATAAGTTGTTATATTCAGCATGAATTGTGCTATTCAGCGTGAATTGTGCTCTTCAGACAACGAGTAAAAAGTATCAACAGTTTGAGATAGCCATTATTATTCACTGGCTATCAAAGGTGAGTATTGACAGTAATAAGTCGACGGTTTGACCACCTGCTTTCACAGTGGACATCACTGGCCAAAGTATCAGTCGATTAGTTATCTCAGGCTGGTATCACCTCATGTGTCAACATAGAAATATTTTAATAAAGTCTTAAGCGGGCCTCGAGGTGAATGATCATGCCAGAAATGATTAGAATAATGGATGAATCAGTCGGTAAGAAAACACTTCAACTCGGCCTAGCTTTAGTACTTTGAAATGAGGAGGTGGTGATGAGATTATCCAGTGTCCACCCATGCGCCTCCCTACACGTGCCTCGCCAGCGCCGCTCTCGAATAAGCGCCGCGACGCGACTGTAGCCTAGGACCTAATAGTGAATCAAGGCAATTATTGTATAAACATCGCGGCAAAGAAACGACTTTTAAACAACTGATTTCACAATATTAGTAATACTAACATTGTTCAAAGTCATACCGGTAGGCTTGCGCCGAAGTCCAGGACTCTGTACCAGCTTAGGCTAATGAGCCCCATTCTCGAATAACACCACATAAGCCCCAAAACGTGATAAGTATCGTTTAGGAATATATGTTAAACTATGTCAAATGTGATGTGGAATTTTCAGTGTACCGTAAATCCACGAATAGGCCTAAGCGCCGCGGCGCTTATAACATTTTCTTATTTATAATTATCTTATTCGAGAGCGGCGGGTATTAAAAACAATTGGCGTGACGCTTTCCAACGTTTCGATGTTAACCATCTCAAGTATATTGATAAACGTTTATAAAGATATGCTTGTGTCTTCATTGTTATTTATTAATTTGAACACTGTACACATTGTATCCAACACCCTGTTTCTGAAAGTGTGCCATTGCGCACGGGGTAATAGGCCTATGGACTCTCGATTAAAGCGCTTATTCGAGAGCGACGCTTAGCGAAAAAGAAAATATCGTTGGGTGCGGCGTTTAGGCCTACTCGAAAGGTCTATGTAGAATATTCTACCACCGGCATCCATATTTAGAAAATACCACATCAAGCATATAAAGGAAAACAATTTACACACAATTTATTAAAATAGATCAATTTATTACATCAGACAGATCGGTATCAAATACCGATAAAAGTGAACAGAACACGAAAGGAAACGAAAAATCAATACAGTCTTGCACAAGACAAACAATATTCAATCATAACAATAGAGGGCGCTATTTATGGAACGACAACCGAAATGCGAATAAAACTGTGTAGGTATGGAAAAAAACATATGTTTTTAACTATGGATCAAACATTTTTAACAGATGAACATAAACATATATACAGTATATATAATTGGAAATATACCGTAATGAATATAAAAAAATGAGAGATTAAAATAATTCCAATCCGTGGAGATGACCTGGACCCATTATATTGCAGCATAAATGCAAAAGTTATCTGAGAGAATCAAAATAGCTAAATTGAGAACTTATGGTACTGGTATGCCTTGTGGAGTAAGATTGTCAATGAATCTCGGGTTATCGTTTAACGTCACCAAACATGGATGTTATTAAATCTATTTTTTTTTACATTGCCAGTTGGCGCAATAATCCAAGGTCATCAATATTAGTAAATTATTAATTATCTGTTTCATTCACCTTTACTAGAGTAGGTCTACACCACCAAAGTCATTCAACTCGCTCTAGACGATGTGTTATCCTACCCTACCTGTCAGGTCTACAGAACTTATATAAACCTACCGAGAGAGGCACGCGCACCATAGGCCTACTGTGTCCAATGTCATCTGAACGTCAAGATATGCTTTTGTAAGATTGAAATCGTCACAACTTGTATGTCATTGTTTGTGATGTAGTCGATGCCTCTGCAGACGGATGATCCGAAGATCAAGAGTCAGTTTGTTCTCTCGCCATGTCCTTTTCTCATATTTTTATTCGAGTGAAGACATGCCTGTATCGGCATGACGTTATTGAACAGGAAAAATAGCCATAACATTCCTTTATCTTAAATAATTTGTCGATTCCTTCTTGGGAAATATCCCTCCCCTCATGAAATATACTAGCTCTTTTGCAAGTTGAGGTCATAATTTTTTGGGTCCACATTTATTGTAGGTCTCCATTTTAAAAATGATTATATCCTAATGCTGAGATTGATTGATATAACGGTCCACTTAAAAACATACACAACATAAACACGTGCACGGCAGAAAACCCTCACCCACTACGCATTAATTCCACACAATTCACGTACACGAACCTAACACGCACATCCTACCTACACGTATACCGCCACATCCTATACATACACCTAACTAAACACTCATTGTAAAAAAAATAAAAAAAATATTTAAAATGGTGTAAGTTCAATACTAATAGAGACTTTTATACACTACTATAGATTCGGCTACAGCACAGGCTAAGGGTTCCGCTTTCATTATTATGTAGCCTACTATAGGTTTATTTATACCCGTGGTATAAAAAGAAAGGAACTACATCAATAATGAGGAAACTGATAGATATGCAGTAACGATCCTATATAATTAGTAGAAAATCTTTTGAAGTTACTCCCTTCAAAAACAAATTTGATGAAACGGATAAATTGATACTTAACTGAACAGGTAAAGCGACTGCACGAGAGAAAGCTAATGAGGTAATGGACTGAAAATAGGAGAATACATTCATCGGCTGCGTATCAAGATCAAGATATTTGAAAATAACGCTACTACTTATAATACATGTTCTTACTTTCTTATGTGATGTTCTTACTGATGGGCGTTGGACTCCGACAATTTGAAAGGACCATGGCTAGTTTGCAGGCTGCTTGAATTTGGTAAAGCAGCACAAGTCTTAACAATAACTTCACAATTATACTTTACAAATCAATTCCATATTATACACCTAATTAAACACATATTATTATTATCAACACCATAATCATCCTCTACATCATCATCATTATCATTATCGTCATTATTTTTTATTAGAATTATATCTACAGTTATTGTTATCATTAATAACCATAAAATGCCTATTATAAGAAACCATCCCTCTAATGTTTTAAGTGATATTTTTCTCGGTTTTCTTGCCTTAATAGTCTCCGTGAATATCAATTAGGCCTATCGAAAGTTCAGACCCTCAACAAGCCATGTCTTACCTCGTATGCACACTCTTTATACACATCATCTCTTATGGTGCCGTAATATCGGATACGCGTAACAGATTTCACAACATGAAATGTACACGCGAGTGCGATATTTATACGGAATCCTTGATTACGTCACTTCCGTCCAGTATTATGTCATTAAAATTAAAAGAGGCAGGTGACACATTAAACCATAGGAACAGATGCAAAGACCATGTAACCGTAATTACCCAGCACACATTTGTTTTTATCGTATACCAAATACCTGACAGGTGTTGCTGTGACATTCATTTCACTATGCGTTAAACAATGTTAAAGGTATTCGATTTAAACCTAATGCGCATTACTATGCTCAATCCCAAAAATGTCCCATCATGTCAGCGCACACGTATAGTCTACGTGTACATAGTTTAGGTCTAGGGTTTTTTTAGTCCTTATCCGAGAAAACTTGGTTGTAATGACTGAATGACGGAAGATGTAGTCCCTGTAATACCAATATTAGATATTAGACACATATATTCATGTAAAGCTTTAAAAAAAGATTATAAATGACTGTTAAATTTAGGATTTTGGAATCGCTGTAGGTCTATCGACTAATGTTTAGCAAATTTCGTAAAAAAATACATTAATTATGGAAAATTAGTAGGGAAAAAAAATCGAAATCAAGTATATACATGGTCAAATATAGGCCTACCTAAAGAGATATTGTACAATTAAAAAAAATACAAATTAAAATTTGATTTTTATTTTCCTCATGGCCGGCAACACATAAATACTGTAAATATAAAATACAGTAAATAGCAATGTAAAATACGATACGTTGATGAGGCTAGGTGTTGTTATACTTCAGAGACAAACTAGATTTACAAAATAAACTTATTTATCGATGATTAAAATTGTTATTATAATGTTGGTAAACCACATTCTTCTGAAATATAAACGAATGTAATTATTTTACAAAAAAAAAACAAGACAAACTTAACATTTTATTGGCTATAACAATTACCGTACTTTGTCAATGTATCGAACTCATCTTCGAATCATTATTGACTCTTAATTGTCTTGAAATATCCAACTACTTTGATTTTCTTTTAAGTACGTACTGAAGAGTCTGGCTAAAAAAAACATATTCTCGTGATGTACATCTTATAACCACTGATACTGTAGCAATTATCATTCACACTGCGTCTATAGAGACGGCGTATACAAAAATGAAAGCATTATACTACCTTAAAATTAGCATAATTGACAAACATATTGAATATAATTGAGCCAACGTAGCTGCGTGGGCTATATGCCAATGCAGCACCTTTCAGAAAACTTTTGTTTTGATGCCTCTCAAAAAAAGATATTCACGTTCATTTACAAAGATTGATACCAACATTTCCATCAATGTTGCGTAGTTAAATGTCTGAAGACAATTTATCAAATATCTTACCCATGTTTTAAGCCCTATCTACACTATTACAGTGTATTTGACAAAACATGTAAGATGCCTAAATATGGTCATGATGACATCACATCATGACCATATATAGATATAGGGACATCATGATTATATATTTGCATATTACAACAGTTTTTTTTTGTCAACTAAAATTTGATAGTGCATCATCAATAACAATAACAGGCTCACGTTTATCAAAAATTCTTGAAAACTCCTATCTACTTAATTATCATATATACAATTTTAATCCTTTTAAGAAATATAAATTATAGGCCTAACAAAGTTAGATTCAGATGCTATCACATATCGAATTTAATGAGCAGTGTCCTCCTATGGGTAACAGGTCATAAATCTAGTCTAAAAATGTCAAACTGTTTTAAAAAATTACTTACTGTAATCGTTGTTGTGACCTCGATTTTGTTGGACGCAATTAATACACTGAAATCTACTGTATTGGAACAAAAGTCTGAAAAGTGTGCTGTGTTTTTACAGTTCATTTAAGGCTTTGAACGCATTACTAATAGGGTATACTAACTTTGTGTCTCAATGACGTTATAAGGGCGCAAACACTTACAACTTGTTTCCACTAAAATTTTCTAATGTTATCAAAGTGTGGATTGAGTCAAGATTTAAATATTGGCTAATAGTTTTCTTGAACGTAAACAAGTCTTCTTATCGAGTCATTACGTAGCTGGTGTGTATGTTGCTTACGTAGTGTGGTAGAAGGATTCGCAGGTAGGATGGATACCTGACATGGGCCGCGACTGGGTTCTTTAAAATGCACATGAGCCGATTGTGTACACTGGACCTACGGTTAGAGTCCTTATCCGAGAAGACTTGTTCCACCACCGTAAGACGAGCGTGCCGTTCGAACCAGCACCGATATTATGGATGTATGTCACGGTTCCCCTGTCTTAACCGCTTCAGCCAATCGACTCGCCTCTAAATTCTTATAAAACATTGGGATCAACGTGAACATTCGATATCTCCGTTTTTCAAAGATGTCGCGTCGAGATATCCAGTAACCGAATGATAGGTGGCGTTTTCAAATATTAAAATTATAGACACTTCAAACTGTATAACATTTGTAAAATATTACAGGAAATTTAATTCCAAATTGCAATAACTAATTACAAAAATACAAATAAAGTAAGTATTGTAGCACTTCATTTTGACAAAAATGTTTTATTGAGATAGAGATACTGTACTTATTTTATTTGTATTTGTTATTTTGACTGACTTTTACGGCTCGAACTTTTATTGTCTGATAATTGAAAAAAGTAAATTGCACTCAAAAACAAAATACAAGGTATTTCGTTTACATGGATATTTTTAGGTCTTGGGTGTTCTACTAAATGTTATTGGTATTATTGGCATAGAGCTCCACATCGATTGTTAGTCATACTTCCTGCCTATTTTTAAAAGTTCGGAACGTATGCAAAACACATTGTCATTTAGATATCCAGTAAATGGACGATAGGTGGCGCTTTTCAAATACTGTACTAAAATTATGAACACAAAATAACATTTTGTAGAATATTACAGGAAATTAAATTACAAATCATTTTAAATCCTAGAGCTCCACATCGATTGCTATACTTGGTTTCGTATGTACATCCTCTATCTTGTTTGAGGTTTAGGACGCATGTAAAACACATTGTCATTTATGTTAACCTTGCTAATTATGCGAACTGGGGCTGATCCCTGCTGACTTAGATCTTGCCGATTTGAAGATGAAGTATCGTGTTAGATCAATAAATAACTCAAAGACCTCAAAAATAGTGAGAATTGATAGTCCAAGCCAGAGACCAACAAGACCTCCTAATGCACCAACCAAGTCGATAAACTGAAAAGAAATTATAAAATTTAACAACATCAGTAAACGGTTTGATGGGGAAATAATGGAGATGATGATGATGATGATGATGATGATGAGGAGGAGGAGGAGGATGGTGGTGGTGATAATGACGATGATGATGATGATGGGGATGATGATGATGGTGATGACGATGATGATGATGATGATGATGATGGTGATGATGATGATGATGATGATGGTGATAATGATGATGATGAAGATGATGATGCTTTACGGTATAGGATGATATTTCAGTCTCATTATAATAACATTAACAATGACAATACAAAAAGCTTTCCCCTGTTTCTGAAACTTTTATATAACTGTATGTTTACCGTGTATGTAAAAGACTGGTTTATTACTTCGTAGTTGAGATCTTGATAATAAATATCCAGATTAAGAAGATTTAATCTGAAGATATATATTACAAAATAAGAAGATGTTAGTACATAAGCTGCGCCTCTTAAATTATGGTACAATTAGAAAATTACTGCATAATAATAATAATAATAATAATAATAATAATAATAATAATAATAATAATAATAATGATAATGGTAATGATGATGATGATGATAATAATAATAATAATAATTAATACTGATTGATAATAATAATAATAATAATAATCATACTGATTGATAAATCGACTAATGGCATTAAAAATAAAATTCTAAACCTACCTTATCGCATTCTTATCATTACAATCAGCCTCTACAGTTTCTCTTAGAGGCTTGGAAAAGTTTACTAGATTTTCTTTCAAATTTTCCTTTTATATAAAAAGAACAAAAGAAAAAAATCTATTGAACTCCAACAAAAATACACATACTCGGCTAGTTAAAGCAGTATGTACCGTACGTTACACGTGAAGAGATAAATTCTAAACCGTCTTGCGGTAATGCTTTATACATAAATGAACCTTTCCAGAGTGGCAATCAAACTTAACAATTGACCAATCAGGGTTGCAATACGCGCGTATATTATAAGCACACGCGTTGTCCCACAAGCGTACGTAATTGCGTAGGCTTTACCACTGGACCTCCGCTAAGCTCCGCCAAGTGGTGGAGCTTAGCGGAGAGGTCCATTGTAAACGAAAAAGTGTCAAATTGAAAAGCTGACCAATCAAAACGTTATATTCATTAAGCGGCGGACAGGAATGCATGGCCTACCAAAAAGTTTCAGTTTACAAACTCACACTCAGCCGTATTTCTATACGAATGGCTGTTGTTTTGTGGGTTAGCAAACATTTTCAATAGAAGAGGCTTTGCGGATGCCAATATTAGCAGTTCATATACGACAAACCAGTGGTTTTACTTCACAAACCATATTTTTACACACGGTGTACCGAAAGCTCTATGATTTTGTTAATTGATACTCGCCATGCAAACCTTTAAGAAATTCAATAATTTTACGTTTTTACAACCAAGTAAAACAAAAAAGGTAATGTTATAAATGCAAGAAATGGGCTATTCTACAAAATACCTTAGCCAAACATTGTGATAACTTACTTTGTAGTTGTCTGAAGGCCAGTAGGACGTCGAGATATCACTTGTGTAGCTGACAGTACTAAAGACAACAAAAATATTTTATCAATAGCCTACAATAAATTTTTATTTCAAGCTATGCTATTGAGAAACGTTTATAAAATAAAAATATTGGGATTACAGTATAATAATAGGAGCTTTCGATTGTGCAGGACGGATTCATCCTAACGCGACTCTTCATGCGTTATCTTCACAACGCAGATTCGACCCAAACCGTGTCCAAGAAGACGACGGAGTCTCGTCCCAGAACTTATCGTCCTTATGCAATATAGCAAAGTTCCGAATAATATCGATGATCGTTTTGTTTGAAATTCTTACTTGCATGGTTGTTGACATGAGCAGTAGGTGTAACCCGAAATTCTAAACGTTTCTTGAAAGCCTTCCACACAGTCATCTTTAAAAACAAGAAAGTACAAGTTAAGTATTTTTGTAAAAACATTAGCATTGAAGGGAGAGAATCAAAAGCCGTTGTTTAGCTAGCGTCACTTTTACTAGTAAGTATGCAAGTCTACTGCCCGTCAGACTGCGACAGACAACTACGCTGCCTCCACAACAAGGGGTATCCCTAAAACACCCACAAATTCATTATTTTATCTCTTCTCTTATTTTATTTTAGTACAAAGATGTTCATCATTGTATGGTTTAACCCCTCACCTGACAATATTGAATTTTGGGTGGATGCAATGGTGATTGTGTTATGCTGAATGTTTGCTCAGTCATGTTGAAAAAAAGAATGGAGTACGGAGGCACATTTTTTTTAAACGTAGGTTATTTTGGTAAAATCTTATGAATTATTCATATTTTGCGCTTGCGCTATTTTAAAGTCTGTTTCAGCTTCAATGATCAGCTGCTTTGTATAGGGCGCCAAATTTATGTTGAAATCAAAATGTAATTGCAAAATTCAATGTCTAATTTATCAAAACGTAGGTCTAACTCAAAATGTAGATCTAGTTTCTCAAAACGAAGTTCTAATTTTTCAAAACGTAGTTCTAATTTTCCAAAATGTAGTTCTAATTAATCTTTAAAATGTACTTTTTCCAAAACGTAGGTCTGAATTGATCAAACGCCCTCTCTAAATTTGTAAAACGACATTTTGAAACAACACTAGACATGAAAAATGTAAATCAAAACCAACCAAGCACGACGGGCCCGTTCGCGATTTTTTTTCCGTACGAAACATTTACATGAAACTCCACTCGGGCCGTCTCGGCTGAATCGACCCGAAAATCTCATTGCAGAATTCAGGAGGTCAAAAGGTCATCAACAGATAAACGTCTACAAA